AAGGAAAGCAGCTGGGCATGGAGGCCGATGATGTGGTCCTCGGGAGTGACGGAGCAGGTCCCTGGCTTCCCACAGAGCCAGGGTTTCTTGAGCAGTGCCATCTGGAGCCCAGAGAGGGCACTTGGCTTGTTGATGCCTGAACCACACAAGAAGCCTCCTGTGTGGGAAGTTGCTGGCATGGCAAAGGCTCATCCTGCAGTAAGAGAAGGACAGGCAGGCTGGTACTCAGGCCCAATGTTCAGAAGTTCGGGTGTGTAGTTAGTTCACCCCAAGCGGAGTCATCTTTAAGGGACTCATCCACATCAACCAAGCCCTGGGAGGCCTGATTTATAAACTGCCTCTCCAGGGACTGGAACTCTTGTGTCTAATCTCAGGAAAACGTCTTTGGACAGCTTAAGGAGTCTCGGCAAGGACATGATCACTCAGAAGGTCACTTGGAGTGGTGAGACTCACACGATGGTGATGGACGTTCACTCCAGGATGCAGAGATGCCGGGTGCAGTGGCCCTCCTTGCTCTGCCGGGTGGTCAAAGGGACTCATTTTTTGAACCAAAGACTTGCACGTGTTCCCAGCAGCTCTGACAACAGCTCAGCATGCTTGCAGTGGGGGTCGTCTCAGGAAATCGAGGCTCCTCGGTTGCAGGAGAGCAGTGTCCACACATTTCAGTGTTCTTCCTATGTAGAGAGCCGTGCAGACACTGGGCAGGCCTGTGTCACTTTAGGTTATTTCTGCTCACCCGTCTTTCACACAGAGCTCTGCCCCCCTGTGAGTCTTTGCTGCAGTGTACGCCGCCAGCCACAGGACCACACGACTGTCTTCCGTTCCTTCCTTCACTTCCCGCCGCGCTCAGGTACCCTCTGCTTGCTATGATTGGGGAAAAAATCCCAACTCTTACCTTGATGTTTGAAGTCTTGCATACTGCTACATCCTTGTATCTGCCAACATTCTAGTGCTTTCCAGGTTATCCCAGGAATACAGGACAGATGATCTCTTTGGCGTGGGTTTCTTCTACAAAGAGTTAGTCCTTTTTCACAATGCTTTACTCATTTCACACTCAAAGGAGGTATTTGTCTCCAAATTCTGAGTTACTTAATTTATCCTGGCTGTGCTCTCACTCCAGGATGTCATGTTTTTATGGAGGGTTGTGATTCCATTAATTTTTCTTTTCTTTTTTTAAAATCTCATTTTTTTATTAAAAAAAAAAACAGATTTAGGATTTTGTAAGAAACTACTGTTATTTTTTTTAACCAGTCAAGTACTATAGTAATGGAATAAATAATAATATTTTTAAAAATTCAATGTTTATAGACATATTTATTAAAAATGACTAAATTAGGAGACATTAAGTAACGCTGATACACATCAGGAAGGGATTAGGTAAGTAAAGGCACATCATTTCATCACAAGAAATAAAGACCATAGTCGGAAGTTAATGACCCACCAAAGCTCTAGGTCTTGTGGTAGTTTTCCTAACTCCAGAGGGTTGTTATGGTGGAACACTTCTTTATGGTACTTAGCTGAAATAAACAGATAGCAATTAGAAGATTTTACTCAGTGACCTCAATGTCTTGTTAAAATAGAAAGCACTCTTTCAGTAAGTCCAGTGTGTGAGAGGGGAAGGAACAAAATTCTAAAATGGTTTGGTGATACTGGAAATCCTATTGACATATTAAAGATAAAAAAAAAAAAAGTGAAACAAGGTTAATCCTTTTGTCTGGATGAATCAGTTAGTGGAACCTTAGAATAGCCGGTGGAGGATTTTGAGTTTCATGGTTTTGGCAACCCACTCCAGTATTCTTGCCTGGAGAATTCCCATGGACAGAGGAGCCTGGGGTGCTGAAGTCCATAGATAGGGTCACGAAGAGCAGGACACGACTGAAGCGACTTCACACACGTGTACGCACAGTTTCAGCGCTTCCATTTAGGCCACCAATCCATTCTGAGTTAATTTTTTTAATGGTGTGAGGAAGTGATCCAACTTCCGTCTTTCACATGTGGGAATCTGATTGTTCTCGAACCTTCTTCTCACTCTCACTTTTGAGATCAAATGTTTGGGGGAAATATCTAATTTCCAAAATTATTCCTTATATTAGAATACTGAACATTTTACTTTTTAAAAAATATTGGAGTTTTCCAAACTAAATTCCTGTGCAGTAAACTGCTGCTTCTTAAGGGAAAGGAGAAAGTCACAGGATAATTTGTACATTAGAAATGGTCAGTGGAAACTCTTCAAAAACTGGGAGCAATACTTAGTGATTTAAGAAAATGGATAAATTAAAGACACTTTTTAAAATTAAGGAGATGATCTACATTATTAAGAGATTAAAATGTTGAGCTGATGACTTCACAGCTTTCAAGTGCTCAAAAGGGCTACTGGGATAGTCCTATTACCCACATTCATAGGAACAGAACTAGAGGGGGAAAATGCATTTACCTTGCAATTGGAAAGACTTCACTTTGACATCAATAAAAGGTTTTCAAAGGCAAAACTAAAAGCCATGATGATGCTTACTGCCTACCTAACGTGTGTCAGTGTTTTCCCCCCGGGGGAAGCACGGTCAGCATCAGAGATGAACTTGGACTTGAACCCAAGAGATCCAATGCTGTGCCCAGACTCTTATCCACAGTGCAAAAGCACCCCCGTTAAAAGTGGGTGTTAGAACACCCCTCCCTCCTGAGAAAACTTGCCTTTCTACCAGCAGAGAGATTCAAAATAGGATGGACACTAGTCAGATGAAATTCATAATCCTGGCACTTTTGATGGCATCAGTCTTCTGATCCTACGTAAACACTGGTCACTTTCTTATTACTTTTCTTTTGGAAAAACAGGAAGATAATCTCTTAACCTTTATCCCTTCTCCAAAATGTCCAACAGGCTACTATTAAATGTTTTGCAACATTACATAAACATCCTCCTGAGTAATATGGATAAATGCCCAGTGACACGTCGTAGGAAACATAATATCCCCCTTTCCCCTTTTTAATCTTTGAGGCTTTGTTTTAATAATTCATGGAGATGTTAACCTTTCAGGTGGATTTGAGAATCCTTTTTATTTAATGCAGTTTTGTTTGTGTTCTGAAGCCAAGGACACTGAAGTGTTTTATCCCCTGCTGAATAGGGCATTGTGTACCTGTGTCTTTGTTTTTTCTGAAAACACTCTTCACTTTCATACATCTCCTCGGGGCTCTAGCAGGTGGGCTGGTTACATATTGTTCCCTTTGGAAGAGACCATGTGATGTGCTCTGATAGGAATGTTGTCACAACATCCCCATTTTCTTAACCCCCTGGTTTCCCTTATGTCATCATTTCCATGATACTCCTTTGGCTGAGTCTACAAAGAAAGCAAGAAGTAACTCATCTTTATAATTGGAGATAGAACCTGAAGTGGCAAGATATTCACCTGAGAAATAACGTATCTTAGTAGCAGACCTGGAGCTGCAGTCCATATATTTTGATTGTGGTAGACATTTAAGACCAATGGTTTCTGGCTTTTTTTTTTTTTTTTTTGGTGCAGTGTGTGACATGCAGGATCTTGGCTCTCCAACCAGAAACTGAACCCATGCCTCGGCAGTGGAAGCACTGAGTCCGACCGCTGGACTGCCTCGGAAGTCCCAAGAGTAACGGTTTTCAACTGGAGAGATTTTTCTGTCCCTAGTGTACGTGTGGAAATGTCTGGAGACATTTTTGGTCATTGCAAACGGGGCGGGAGGTGATGCTACTGATACAAAGCTGGTAGAGGCCCAGGCTGCTGCTGACAGTCCACGTACACCGGACGGATGCTGGAGCAGAGACTTACCCAGCCTCAATGTCAGTGGGGACGCACGAGGAGCTCCATCCTAGAGTAATGAGGACTGGGTTTGAACCCTGCTCGGCCTCTTATTGTGTGAGCTTGGGCGATGACTTTATTTTTCAGAGTCTGCGTTCTCATCTGAAAACACCCTACCACCACCACCGCAGACCACCACACCCCGCCTTCCCAGGGTGGCTGTCGGAGGCCAACTCCGAAGACCGCGAACCAGGGCGCGCTGAGCGCACTGCGGGCCGACAGACGGATCGGGGCCCAGTCCTACCGCGAAAGGGAAGCAGAGCGCGCGCGAGACCGCGCCGCCGAGATGCCAGCTGCGCGTCGGCGTTCACAGGGCCGAGCGGAGCGGGTGGAGGGGAAAAGAGAGCCGAGCAGCGCGGGCGGCGCCCTAGGAGCGGAGGGACAGGAGCTGGGGATTCAGACACAGCTGCACGTAAGACCGCTGAGCAATGAGGGCTGACTGCCCCGCGCAGGGGACTCTACCCAGCACCCTGTAACAGCATTAATGGAAAATAACCTGAAACAGACAGACAACTGAAGCACGTTGCCCTGTACCTGAAACCAAGGCAACGTTTTAAATCTACACTGTGTGCTGTGCTTAGTCACACCGGGCTCCTCTGTCCGTGAGGATTCTCCAGGCAAGAATACTGGAATGGATGGCCGTGCCCACCCCCAGGGGATCTTCCCAACCCAGGGATCAAACCCGGTCTCCTGCATTTCAGGCAGATTCTTTACTACCTGAGCCACCAGGGGAGCCCAAATCTACTGTACTTCAAAAAATAAAAAAAGAACATTATAAAAAGAGAGAGAGAGAAGATGGCATGTGAGAGGTCCCCTAGGGGGTCACATCTAACTCTTCCCAGCTCAGCCACAGAGCCCAACCACCCTGAGAGAGAAGCCATGAATTAGAAGGATTTGTTTGGAGATGGGGTATTATTCTGGGTGACCAAACAAATTCCAAATCAAACTGGGCATAGCATCATTTATGTCCTGTAGACCAGCTGTCATCTCCTTGTATGAAAGCAAGCATATCCTATGGGATTCTTAGAGAGCCTCAATATCCAGAGTTGCAATAATGTAAAACCTCCATAGCCGACAGGTAAGGCAGCAGAAACGATCTATGGAATAAAGATAAATGAATCATGAGGGAACTGTTTTCTTTTGCAGAATCTTGCCTTCTTGGGAACCTCAGCCATGAGTTGGATGGTCCTCAGAGACCTCTTGGGCGGAGTAAATACATCCTCCACGGGGATTGGGCGGATCTGGCTGGCCGTCCTGTTCGTCTTCCGCTTGCTGGTCTACAAGGTGGCGGCGGAACACGTGTGGAAAGAGGAGCAGAGAGAGTTTGAGTGCAACGTTAGACAGCCCGGCTGTGCAAACGTGTGTTTTGACTACTTCTTCCCCATCTCCCAGGTCAGACTTTGGGCCTTACAACTGATCATGGTCTCCACGCCATCACTGCTGGTCGTTCTACACGTAGCCTACCGCGCAGGCAGAGAGAAAAAGCAGAGGAGGAAACTCCGCGCCAGCCCAGGCGCCGTGGGTGGGGGCCTATGGTGCATCTACCTGATCAGCCTCGTGGTCAAAGCGGGCTTTGAAATTGGCTTCCTGGCCTTATTCTACAAGCTGTACGGTGGCTTCCGTGTCCCCCGCCTTTTGAAGTGCGATCGGAAGCCCTGCCCCAGAACTGTGGACTGCTTTGTCTCCAGACCCACGGAGAAGACCGTCTTCACGCTCTTCCTGGCAGGGGCTTCGTGCCTGTGCGTTGTGTTGAACGTCACTGAACTGAGCTTTTTGGTCCTCAAGTGTTTCACTAAGTGCTGCCTCCAAAATCACTCTACAAGACTGCAGCCCTCCGCGTGTGAGCGCCACGAGCTCAGGGGCCCCGGCGCTGCTCCGGGAGCACTGCTCAGACTCGCCACCGGCACAGCCCGGGGAGGAGAAACCACGCTCCTCCGCGACGCGCGAGGCGTAGCCAAGGCGAAGCCCGCAGCTCCCTCCCACAAGACCTAGGCTTCCTTGGAAAACGAAGTGTGTCCACTCGAATGTCACTGGGGAGGAATTCTTAGATTTTCATGCTCGCTTGTATATACTAGACAGAGGTCTCCTTGTTTGGTTGTAGGGTTCATGAGGCCACGTGAGTTGTGCTTGAATAGTTAACTGCAAATTAGTGTGAAGAAATCCAGCAACATTCTTCTCAGCGCTTAGATCTATCAACTAGAAACAAAAGGGACACTTCTGCCCAAAGTGACGGCCTCCAAAAACCGCGGAGGCCCTGGCCATCTTTCCCAAGTTGCAGCCAAGGCCCCGGGCACTCAGCCTCGCCCAGTCTCTGCAGAAAGGCTCTGATGAGCGGGGAGCAGCAGCTGAGCCAGGAGCCCACAGGAGCACATTCGGTGAGAAGGCTCAGCCCGAGCGAACAGCCACAGGGTCCTGGACACTTTGCAGTTTAGGTGTCTCTCGACAGAAGTGGACTCGGGAAAAGGGGCGGAGAAGGCAATGGCACCCGCTCCAGTGCTCTTGCCTGGAGAATCCCAGGGACGGGGGAGCCTGGTGGGCTGCAGCCCATGGGGTCGCACAGAGTCGGACACGACTGAAGCGACTTAGCAGCAGCAGCAGCAGCAGGGGAAAGGAGAGAGAGCCATCATTTATCGGTCTCCAGCTTCCCAGGCGGCTCTGGCGGTAAAGAGTCCGCCTGCAATGCAGGAGACCTGGGTTTGATCCCTGGGTGGGGAAGACCCCCTGGAGAAGGAAATGGCAGCCCACTCCAGTATTCTTCTCTGGAGAATCCCATGGGCAGAGGAGCCTGGCAGGCTACAGTCCTTGGGGTTGCGAAGAGTTGGGCGCGCCCGAGCATGCACACAAGGCAAGGCAGCTTAAATACAAGCATTCCTGGGGGCGGCCCGCTAGAGCCTGAACTAGCGGACATCCGCAAAGGGCGCCGCAGTCACGAGGGGGCAGGTCCCACAGGGATGGGGAGCAGGGCCGAGAAAGGAAATACGCCCGCCTGATAATCTCTGAGCACTTGTCTTGAACCACAGAACACTGAACGATTTTGTACATTTCCACGTCTACAGGCAGGAATTCACAAGGGCCATGGCTTGCCTACAGTTTGCTGGTACTTCTCCCTCTAGGATAGATAGTAACAGTGTGCTATGCTGTTACGTTAGTGTAAAAAAAAATGGTTATGTTTATTATTACTTGATTTGAAGACTATTGCTTTCTTTTACTTTCCTTTCTTTGGATTTAATACGGTAATACAAGTGCATTTCTTCAGAATAAAAATGAGTTGACTTTGAGGTGTTACTTGACTGTCATTGATATCATTACTTGGCCACACTGGGCATGGTTATTCTGTGAAATAAAGCTTGTTCTGACAATTTTAGAATAGGATTTGCAACCCTGCCTGGTAAAGAGAGCTCAGAAATCATTCTTCTCCGCTGGGATTTTTTAAACGAAAAGTCAGGGCATAAAAATGCAATTTTAATAAAAACCAATTATGTCATGTCCGTGGCCTTCCCTCCTTTAACCTAAAATGTCTCGTTACAATTCACGTGTAACAAAGGCTGTGTCCTTATGTAGCCCACAGACCATGCCACCAACAATAGCTGTAATCTGTCTTAAAGACTTGTCTTGGAGGGCAGAGATGATGTGAACTTTGGGGTCCCCCTTCCTCCAGTTTATTCCACAGGTCACCGCTGGACTCAGGCATTTATATCCAGTATACTTCACCTTGTGATATGAAAACAGGCAGCCATCACAAACGCAGGTAACCACTGAAAGACTTTATATGTATATATATATATAGTACATATATATATATATATATATCTGCAGTTAATAGAGTTTTAAGGTTTTGGAGGCCATGATCAGGGCATGAAATCTAGAAAATAGGGTTTTGTGTACAGAATTGGGAGGGAGGTCAGGGAATTCTTCAGTCTGAGGATGAATTTGCTATCAAAATGTCTTCAGGGACCTCAGTCTCCTCACCTATGACAACAACCTCTGCTCAAGCTAAAGGGTTGGAAGCATGTGGACATTTGTGCTTTTCCATTTTGCATACAGAGAAGAGTTGAAGCTAATGGAAGCAAAGGCCACGCATGAAGTTGTTTAGACAGAAAGGGGGATAATTTTTTTCTTTAAAGCTTAATTTACAAAATGAGTTCCCTATACACACATCCTGGAAGCTGTCTGAGTGTCAGTGAAGACTCAAAGCATTTGAGAAAAACTGGCAGTTAAATTTTGCCTTCTTTATTCTTTCTCTTATGGATACATTGATATTTATTGAGCAATAATTACTAGAAGCAAGACACTGAGTTGCCCGTCTTTAGTCTTTAGAGATACATAATTCCCATCTCAAGAAAATTTCCGCTTCTATTAAGGGGGGTGGAGGCAAAAGTGCCATGGAGTATTTCACATCTGTGTCCTGTATTTATTAATGCATTACCTCACTTAACCCCCTGCATGCTGCTGGTGCCCAGGAAGCAGACAGAGAAGAAAAGTGAGATCCCAAAACACAGTTGCCTTTTTCAGAGACACTCATCTAGTAAAAGCAGAGTTAAAAATCACCCTTAGACCACCTGCTTACCACATCAGGCTTCCAGATCACTAAACAGATTTAATTCAAGCCATTCCCTGGTGGCTCAGATGGTGAAGATTCTGCCTATGATGCGGGAGATGTGGGTTCAATCCCTGGATCACGAAGATCCCCTGGAGAAGGGAATGGCTACCCACTCCAGTATTCTTGCCCGGGATAATCCCATGGACAGAGGAGCCTGGCAGGCTAGTCCATGGGGTCCCAAAGAGTTGGATGCAACTGAGCAACTAACACTTTTCACTTTCATTCTGGATTTGCAATGATTTTGTCTTCCTTGTACTTTTCCGCAAAAATCTTTCTGGTTACAGATTTTACCCCTGGCCACAGCGTTTCTTCTAATTGGAGCTGGAGGGAAAAAAAAATTTTTTTTTCAAGTTCTTGGATGAAAGAATGCCTAGGCATGCAAGTGGTTATGGTTCCCGTCTTTCCAAGGAAATTAAGCCAGCTTTCTTCAAACAGACTGCAGAGACTAGAGAGGAGGTGGGGGAAAGGCAAAGACCTGAGGATGTTTGATTCTTCAATCCTGCTGTCCTTGACCACTGGCTCCACCCTACTTTCTGCAGTTTACTTACATGGAAGGTAAGTCCCCATTTTTGTTTAAATTGGTTTAAATTAAGTTTCTGGATCTTGCAACTAAGAGTCCTAATAAAATTCATGTTCTTCAAAAATTTCTTCCCTATATACTAGAAAAAAGAGGTATGACTCCTATCAGCGTTTCCTTTTCAGGCTTCAAGCGCTCTAACTTTGACACGTGTATGTATAGAATTTTTGTGTCAATAGGAAGAAAGAAGGGGAAGGATGTCAACACTCGTTACAATAAGAGGAAAGATGAACTTTTTCTTTATAAATCTTTTGTTTTGTATGTGCTTTTGCTTTTAAGTTTTTAATAAACAAGGCAACTGAAAACCCCAAAGTGCCCCATCTCGAAATTTTTCTAGCTCATATCCTATCACAGGTATGTGACACATCCCGTAAACACTGATGCGAATTTACCCCTAGTTTACATTTTATATTTAGTATGACAGCATAAATGAGAGGCCATTTCACAGCTCTGAAAACCTGGCGAGGAAAGAAAGCAGAGGTGGAGCCTGTGGAGACAAAAAGCATCAGCGTTCAGCTGAATTTTAATGACAAAGCCCAAGGGAGGTGTTCTGGGAGAGACCTGCCAGCAGCTCTTTCTTCAGTATGAATTTGGGTCTTCTCTCCAAAGCTATAAAAGGCATCGGTGATTGTGGTGAGTTCTGAGAATGTTCCACAGGGATATCCTGCCTGCCAAGCTCCTCTGCCCAGGGAATTCTCCAGGCAAGAATACTGGAGTGGGTAGCCACTGCCTTCTCCGGGGCAGCTTCCCAACCCAGGGGTCTCATCCCGGTCTCCCGCGCTGCAGGCGATTCTTTACCTTCTGAGCCAGCAGGGAAGTCCTTCTTGTGCCAGGGGGTCTAGTAAACAACCTTCCGACTCTGAGAAGACAAAGATGAGCTTTCAGAATTCTATAATGTACCCACATGCTGCGTCTGAAGGCAAAGGGAAATGATTTCTTACGTTACCCAAGTCAGCCAACAGTCCCCCTACTTACAGGTGAAGTGTTAGATCCTTCCCCAGCTATGGAGATCTAATGTTCTATTAAAAGGAAAAAGAAAACATGTTCAGATCAAAGTAATAGATGTAATTTCTGTCAACTTACTTTTATCTTAAAACTTTTTCCAGACATGAACGCCTCCTATCAGAGGAGAGATCGATAGGACAGCTATGGTGCAGAAATGAGGCAGAGGCCACTCGTCTCTGCAGAGTCACAGCAAGTTGAAGAGGTGGACCGCAGGGTCCTGAGCCCTAGGAAAAGTCACTGTTCAAACGGCCGGGGAGTGAGGCAGAGGAGACACATTTTTAATTTTTAGTGAGCACAATTTCCACATTCTTGCTATAAAAATGTCATTAACTAAATTGATGATCATCAATCTCGTTACTAAAAGTAGCATGAATCATTAGGTTAGCCAAGTGACTTCAATTAAAAAGTATTTATCTCAAAGGAGAGTAAGTACAGTAACTTGAGACTTGACTCTCTGTAGATTAGCAAACCTGATAAGCCAATCTTCCTAGAGAAGACTGCTCCTCATCACATTAATTTGATGATATTAGAACTACGACTGTGACCAAGGTTGAGAGTCTTATCTTATTCATCTCTTCACATCTTTGTATTGCCACAGCTTTTTAGGTCCATAGTACCTAGAAGCGCAGTGTTTCCGGGGAAGAAAATGTGTTCCTCTTGCTTCTTCCATCTTTTATCTGTTTATTCCTCTCCACCTAAAAGAATTCTGATTTTGTTGGGGATGCCAATGCCCCCAGCTTAAAACAAAAAAGCACATCTCCAAGTCTCCTTTGCATGCAGAGTTAGCAGGGTGAGAACCTTCTTGTCGAA